AGAGCATCTCAGACAAACTACAGACCTTCATCAACAGTTGTCTTCGCTCAATACTCAAGATCAGATGGCCAGCCGGCCAGAAAAGATCAGCAACAGAGATCTCTGGCAATGAGCGAACCAACCAGGAACCGATTGTGAAACAAATAGGCAGGAAGAAATGGAGGTGGATTGGCCATACTCTGAGAAAACCATCAAGTGGCATCACTAGACAAGCCATTGCTCGAGTGGAACCCGAAAGGGAAGCGGCGAGTTGGTCGTCAGTGCAAGGGTGACTTGGAGGAGGTTATGTGAAGAGGAGATGAAAGCGTGTGGGCAGACATGGAGCCAGGTGAAGACTCTAGCAGAGAACCGAACGCAATGGAGACGCACGGCTGAAGCCCTATGTTCCTCTAGGAATTAAAGGAAACAATAATAATAATAATAATCTGAAATCGATCAAAGATACAAGTAAATAGTGTACTTTGTTATAGAGGTTTATTTGATATAACACACAGTGAGCAATACAGTATTAATGACTAGACAACGTTTCGAGCATAATTTTTTGCTTATAATCATATTCACATGACTTCCGGCCTTATTTTATATAAAGCCTTACTGTCTTTTATTGTAATTCTGTATTTCTATTGCACGTGCTTGGTATTGATTTGATGGATAAAAACTCGGTGATTAGCCTCTCTCTCTCTCTACCTAATCAAACTACTACTCAGTACTTTAAACCTGTCGCACCCTATTGTGTGATTAAATGCAAGTAAATGAGTAATGGATTGTAATGGCGGAGCTTTATTCGAAATGGCTTAATAGTCTACTAGCTCGCCTTGTAACCAGAAGGTCCTGGGTTTGAACCCTGGCGGTGGGTGCGTACTGATGAAGAGTCCCAAACAAGGCTGACGAAACAGCTGTCCAGTACTCCCTGCAGATTTTTCAATGGTCCTCTAACCGATGTCAGTTCATGATGAAATCCTGAAATCAATCAAATCCCTACAAAACAATACTTGAATCTAATTGGTGGATGGTGACTAGCAGTGGAATCCAGGATGGCATTTCGTCCTATTCGGGACTCGTCATCTGGATGTACCAGCATTCCGAAGCTAACGAGTGCGCATCCTGGATTCCACTGCTCGTCATCATCCACCAATTAACTTTTAATTACAGGCCCAGACATCGTCGAAGCCGACATGTTAACCTGAGACCGAGCACTTCAGTCCAATCAATCGACAGGAAAATCTAAAAATTGAATTAAATACTTGAATCATTCAAAATTACTTAATTTACTAGGGTCATTCGTTTTAACTGTAGATAAATTCCCATATTCTGATAATCTAATTGGCCAGATACTAAGAAAGTGGAAGCACACTGACATGATAATGAGCAGGAGTAAACTGTTCTCGAAACGTCATCCAGTTGTTAATACTGTATCATACACTGTGTATTATATATGAAATAAACTTATCTAGCATGGAATTTTTCCCTACAACAGTACTAAAATACTTCTCTTACATTAATTCAGAAATTTAGTATGCGGGAAGTTTTTATAACTAAGGTAAACTTTAAATCTGAGTTACCCATTAAATAAGTATGGGTGGAATTTCACATCGTATTGTCGGGTGAAAATTTTTCGGCAGAGGGGGGGGGGGGTTAAGGGAACTTTTCAGCATTATCCACTCACTGGGGTTTGAATCCAGACAAGGCCTTCCGGTTACAAGGCGAGCTTGTAGACCATTCGGGCACTGGGACCCAATCTAATGGTCCATGAATTCCTATTTCTGCTAATTCGCGATGCATATAAAGCGCAATCGCCAGCTAATGTCATAGACGAGTAACTGATCTCCTCTTACCTAATTTTTTTTATGACAAATGAAATGAAAATAAAAATATGGACTTTATCAAGAAAGATGTTGAAATATAAAAAAATATTTCGTTTCAGTTAATGAGTTGATGATAACACTGCATATGTTTAACAACCGTACTTGAGCAGTTTAATGTACACATGAATAGAAGGCACTAACAAAAGAAAATACAAAGAAATGAATCTAGTGGCTTCTTTTTTTTACTAGTAAGTGGGATTATAAAGAGAATGGTTAAACTGCGCTTTCTTGATAAGAATCAACTGATGAGGGGTGTGAAGCTTCATCGAGTTAGAAGGTTAGGACACATGTCACGCACGCCGATGTTATCAACAAGCTGTGTTGGCTGACATAAGATCGGATGGGGGGGAATGAGTTAGAGTTGGTGAGAACAAAACATAACAGGAGTCTATGGAAGTTCTCCACTGTTGGTTTGAGTCTGTCATGTGAGAGCGTGTAGACTGCCTGGTTAAGGTCCTTGGGATGTTAAGAGCCAATGATTAGAGATTGTTGATGGGTGTAATGTGTTCAAATCGTCCTCAATAGCATGGCTGCACTCACTGTGTGTGGTCTTTCAGATTTAATAAATCCTAGTTTGGGAATCATCGGTAGTACGCACCCACTGGGGTTCGAATTGGTAGAAGTTAGAATTCATGGACTGGCCATTGAATTGGGTCCCAGTGGCTGAATGGTATACGAGCCAGCTTGCCTTGTAACTGGAAGGTCCTGGCTTTGGGCCCCTGCGGTGGGTGTGTACTGCTGCTGATTCCAAAACTAGGGTGAAACAGCTGTCCAGTACTCTCTGGTTGTTTTCAATGGTTCTCTAACTGATATCAATCCATGATCAACTCGTAAAAACAAAACTAATCCTTACAAACCAACTATGCATAGCTTCTTTTTGAATTGTAACAACTTGTACTGTCGCATTTTAGTACAAAACTCTATGGTGAAAATTCAGTCAATCCGACTGTTGTATGTTTTTGGTGATATTTAGCTGCGGTAATCAGTGTAATGTGGGCAGGATTTTTTTTGAATTCATGATTCACTCACTGATTGACAGTCAACAGTTTAAATCAATAAGTCACAAGTCTATAGAATATCGCATAGTAGTAACATATTTATCATGTTATGTAAATATTTTCAAAAGTTAATTTATAGGGATTTGGTTTGTTTGTAGTTTGATCATGGATTGATGTTAGTTAGAGGAGCGTTGAAAACCAGGGAGTACTAGACAGCTGTTTCGTCCCAGTTCGGGACTCTTCAGCTACATGCACGCAAGACTTCACGGGTGATCAAACCCATGATCATTCCCGGGCTTGTCGACTATAATCAACCAGGTGGGGTGGGATCCAATGGCTCATGAATTCTAACTTCTGTCAATTCACGATTTTAGCACCTCTTAAGATCATACTGGTTTGAAAAGTTTAAGTTATATGGTGTTGAAAAATCCCAGTGTTTCAGTTCTCTGCTTGAATATACGACCCAGTGGAATAGTGTTATTTGAGTTTAACTTGAAATCTGTTTTTTCATGTTTAAAGCAACTAGGGGAGTAGGTATTCTGTATTATACATCATTGTAACATAGAGCACGAAGACTTCTTGTGTCGAACTCATGTATTTGGCAAAATTAGATACTGTTATGATTAAAGATTAAACTCCAATTTGCTCAAAATATTGTTTTCAATTTGTTTATTGGATATTTGACACACAGTGAAACAGTATTACTTACTGGATGACAAAGTTTTGAACAGAATTTATTGTTTATAATCAAAGCATCAATTTTGACTACACAACTTCGAAATTTGATTTTTTTTATAGTTCTCCTTCTTTCCCATTTGTTGTAAGGGTATTAGTATTTTTTTATGTGTTCCTGATAAGTATTGAGTCACTCTTATTGCACGTGTCCTCAGTTGATTCGATAAGTAAAGCTTCAAGTATCAATCTCTTCCTCCATTCTGTTACATTAGATTTTAATGCATTACATGCAGTTATACACAGCCGTACAGTAGGATGGGGCAGAGTGGCAGTATTAAAATCTAATATAACAGGGTAGAAGAGACGGATTACTGAAGTTTTGTTTATCAAATCAACTGAAAATACTCACCATAGGAATGGTTCACCATCTGGCCCAGACATCTAGAAGATTTTAACACCCCTACGACAAGTTAGACAAGGAAGGATGAGAACTATGAAAACCAAGTTTCGAAGTTATTTAGTTACAATTGATGATATGCTTATGAACAGTAAATTGTGTTCGAAACTTTGTCATCCAGTGAACAATATTGTTTCACTGTGTGTAAATTATCCAATGAATGAACTAATACGGAATTACATAATTCCACAGTGTCCAACTTTCATACATACACATTTAACGAAGTATTTGTGCTTTCTATATTGACTCATAATTTTCTCCATTTCTCTTGTTTTTGCCACTTCATCCAACGTTCTTCTATTCAACAGTTTTGTAGAAGACGTCATATTATGTACTACTTATAGATTCTTGCTTGTCACAGTATCATAGTGTCTTAAACAGTTGATATCCAATCCTCGACTGTTAAGTAGTTCTGTTGCGTACTTCATATTTTTATTAAACACGGAAGTTAGCCGATAATTGAGACTATCTGAGATACTATTGCACCTCTTATAGAGTCACTACTACCTTTCTGCAACCGTTCGGGATAGTGTTCTTGACCTCTTCTAGACAGGATACGCATATATCAACTTGCTTGCGCTTATATTGTGAGGTATATTGATTGTTCGACGCGTATCCTGTCTAAAAGGGTTCAAGAACACTATCCTGCATGATTGCAGAAAGGTGTCAGTGACTGCATAAGGAGGAGGAATGCGATAACTGGATGCCTTGTTGACATTGGTCATTCGATGTTAACAAACTCCCTCTTCAAAGTAAACTATTTGAGATAGTCTTTGGTTGGCAGACGGCTATCAATGCAGTAGGTGGCGATGATGTGAAGGTGGCGTTCAAATTACCAGTTTGGCGCTATACCAGATAATCTGTTGAATCCTGTCGTGAGTCCTATTCTCAGTTCTCATTCAATCATCACCCCCTGTATTGTGATTATCAAATTTATTAAAACTTTGGTTATTTTTCAATCAAATATTTCCTTTTTCTTATTTATTTATTTATTTACTTAACCAGGTGCCAAGTTCAAGTATATCAGCCAATGGTGTTGTATCTGAAAGGAATCAATTGAGAACAACTGCTTCATCTGTTGTTAATCCTGTGGTAAATAATCAACTGCCTACATTTGATCATTTCGATTTAATGAAAAAGCGTAAACAACAGCAATCATCATCATCTGTTGATCGTTATGATGAAGTGCCTTCTCTGAGTGAAATTGCATCAGGTAATTGACAAGATTATTATTATTATTACTATTAACTTATGAATATCAGTTTATATTTCTGAATAATTGTGATACATTTATGTAGTAACATTTTTTTGAACACATTATTGTTATAATAAAGGTTTTTGTATTTCCCTAATGAATGAATGAAAAACAAAACGATATTGTTTTTACTGACGTTTCGCTATTTAATGCCTCTAATAGCTTTATCAAAGTATTATTAAACCGGAATTTACAAAATCTCAGCATATATATAACAAAGAGTTAGGGGGTGAGAAAATAGACTTAGGTCAAGTTAAAGGGATATATTGAAAGTCAAAATAGCAATGAAGATCACTAAACCAAATAACACAGGTAATAGTACATCTGTTATGATATCAAAACAAAGTTTACTAACTTGATCATCGTCCGTCAGTCTGGGGTCATTTTTTGTTGTCAAGCTGGTCAATTGGTAAAGATAACAAAACCAAGTGTAGATTGTTGGATTTGATCAGTGTGTAACATTATAAAAGCAGTGTGTGTTTACATAGTGAACTTGCTTATCACATTCGTGTTGATTTTGTCATTTCATGGGGGAGGGAGGTATTGTAACCAGGTCAAATTCTGTTTTAGTCCATCATTCCTATTCAGACAATTTGGATTCCACTTGATATGAAGTGCTTCTGATATTAGACGTTCTTTATGATTTCTGAAGTTTTTCTGGATTATTTCAATATTGTCAAAATCAATTTTGTGGCCTGATTCTATAGCGTGTAGACCTATGGCTGATGATTTTTCAAGCTTTTGTAGTTCAACCGGATTTCTCGGTGGTCGAAGAGATGCTCTATGGTGTTCATTTCTTCTGATTTTGATTTCTCGAGATGTTTGTCCTTTGTCATTTGGTTTAGTGATCTTCATTGACTTTCAATATATCTATTTTCTCACCCCCTAACTCTTTGTTATATATATGCTGAGATTTTGTAAATTCTGGTTTAATAATACTTTGATAAAGCTATTAGCATTAAATAGTGAAACGTCAGTAAAAACGATATCGTTCTGTTTTTCATTCATTCATTGGGAAATACAAAAACCTTTATTATAATTAATATCATATACCCAATACCCAAATTTTTTCAAACCGTTAAAAGTGAACTTGGTTTGGATATATATAACATTATTGTTACTTTCATTGATTGACAATAATTGCTTCCACATTCCATAGGTCATTTTGTAGTGTAATAGAGGATTTATTTCTTTGCGTATAAAGAAAGCAGGGATTCTCAGTTTATATTGACTATAGTAGCTGGTGGTGGATGTACTTGAGATGCTGACTGTCCAGTCAAGTTGACTGAGGGATGATGACTAAATTTGGATAATTTTCTTCTTCATAAAACTATTAGTAGTAAGATTAAAACAAAACACTCAAGCATGAAGTCCCTGATTACCATTTTGAGACGAAGTGTTATTTATTACTGGAGTCTTCAATATTTAAAGAATTAATGGTTAAAGGCTTTTCGTGTATTATTATTATTGTTTCCTTAGGTTTCGAATAGAACATGTGGCTTCAACAGCCAGCACATCTTTATTTCGTCCTGTTCTCTGCAGTCTCTTTAGGCTGGTCCATGATTCCCCGTAATCTGTCATCTTCTCCTCACATCATCTCCATATCACTCTGGGAATCCCACTGGACTTATCGTTTCCATTCGGGTTCCACTCGAACAACGGCCTGGCGAGTAATGTCACTGAATGGTCTCCTCAGTGTGTGTCCGATAAATTTTCGTTCACATCGGGATGTTTATTTGGGAAAAGGTTCTTGGTCGGTTCGTGGACAGAGTTCCTTGTTGCTAATTCTTTCCTGCTGGTCATCTTATCTTTAGTATGGAGCGAAGCTAGCTGTTGATAACAGTCTGCAGCCTGTTCGAGGAAGGGTCGGGTTTAATTCTCGCCTAGTTAGATTTGAGTCTAACAACCGTATCCCTTTAAAAGCAGATAACACCGCTGCCATTGAAACGCCAAAGCTCAAAGCGTGAAGCTCAGTGTTTCAGTTGAAACGCTAGGAATGAAAAAAAATGTTAAACATAGATGGCTGATATAGGCAGCTGGAAAGAGCTAAGCGCAAACGAAACATGACACCAGTCAATGAAATCTACAACAGTTAGTCTAATCCACGTAGGAAGGTGTAGACTTACTGACTGGTTGGGGTCCTCGGGACGGTAAAAACCAATGGTTGGAAACAATTGGTGACATGGCTCATAATCGTTCTCAGTGGCTGGTGCAGATGCATCCACTCCTTGTGACTTATGATTTCCAATTAAACTGTTTTGTTCTCCGTTATTACTATTCCTTTGTCTTATATCCCTGTCTACTGTCTTTATTTTGCATTTCTACTTTCTTCTCTTGCTTTGTGTGCTACATGGAGTGTGGTGACTTGAACTGTCGCACATATGTGCAAAGTTCTATGTCGGAAACCGACCGAGGTGGCACAGTGTTAGTGTTTGACACCATCCAAACATTCATTTTAATGCCATAGAACATGCGAATAGGAAGTGTTTAGACTTCGTGTAGATTTTAAGTAAAAGACGCCTGATTTGATTTATCATACTGTTTACGTTTAGTCCAAGATAACTGAAATATAAGATATCTTTTTAATGTTCTCAACACCCAGGAATCAGTTGTTGCTCACTACAAGTAAGATGATTGAAGGATGTCATTTAAGGTATAAAATTACTATGTTTTTGTCCTACTGTAAATAATGTGTATTCTATTAGAAGTATTAGATGCATTGTTTAACTTTTTTCCCAGTAGTTTAGTTTTACGTCTTGGTATTCCCGATTTTCTTTCAATGTGATGACACCCTTAGTGACTCTAGGTTCTGGTGGCCTAATGGTGGTTCAGTGGTAGAATGTTCGCCGACCCGGCACACGCCTCAGGTTCAATTCCCAGTCGACCTTGCTTGGCTGGGTACTAAGCCCAGTAAAAAAACGGGAAGGTTAGATGTGTGAAGCTAGCAACCCCATCTTACTGGTGAATTTTCTAATTTCAAGCTCAAGGCCCTATGTTCCACTGGGAACTCAAAGCAATCAAAGAAAATATTATGATAAATCCAGCCCAGTTACACACTGGAGCTACGAGCTCATTGGTTTAGGTATCCATCTTTCAACCAAGTATTCCTCTAAAAGTTGTAACCTCATTTTACTTATTATCTACAGAGTTTTGAGCATATCGGTGCTTTTATTATCTGTTCTTGCCTATATTGGGCTGGGCTTAGAGCTTTTGTAGTTTTATACCGAAATGCAAGTGAATTCCACAGATTTGTGATCGGAGTTTTAATGTGCCATAAAAGGAGGATGTAGGGTATCTAGGGGCTGGCTGGCTGTATGATAAAACTAAACAGTTGTTTCAAAACGCTTTTTTTGTATAGAATAAATACACTTCAATTGTTAAGTATGTATTTAAGGAAAAAAATCAGAGGCTTTAAAATGAAATGAAATTAGCATAATTCATTAATTAATTATACAATGGAAATGTGTGTCTATGTGTGAGTATGTTAGTCTGATAAATTTGACAAATTACCTTTCTAAATGTAGATTTATTTTTTTCTTTTAATTTTATGTGTTGTTTTATTGTTTCACTACTTTAAACAACATAGATTTGCCGTTCTTGTTTAATGCTTTGACACTAGACTAGCGATTGTGTATTATAATTATTATTCCCTTGGGTTGCGAGTCGAACATATGCAGATGATATAGTCCTTCAAGGTGAAGACGCTGACAAAATGCAGAGTCTTCCGACCACCTTGACAGGCAGCAATCTTCGAATGTTTGGTATGAGATTCGTTCCTGTCAAATGTAAGATAATGTTACAGGACTGGACCACATCGACTCCTAGCTTAAAGATAGGTAGTGAGTGAAGTGGTGGAGCATGTTGACTACTCCCCTTATTTGGGAAGTTGCATCGTCCCCAACGGGTTGATCGCTGATGAAATCTCAGCACGGATACAGAAGGCTCGTTTGGCATATGCCATCTTACGCCATCTCTGGCATAGATGTGATATCCGGCTGTCGACCAAAGGGCGTCTGCTGCTCAGCAGTTAGCTCTGTCCTGCCTTATGGCTGGCTGTGAGACATAGCCGTTGAGATTGGAAGATATGAAAAGCCTGACTCATTGTCTTTAATCATAAGTGCCTGCGTTGTATGTCCCGTGTTAGGTGGTATAATAAGGTGAGCAATATTCAGGTTAGGCTTCAGTCGAGTGCTAGGTAGATGGGAGGGGAAATCAATCGACGACGTTGTGAAGTCACACCGATTGAAATGATTAGGATATGTGTTACGTATGCCTAGCCATCGCCTTCCTCAACGGGCAATATTAGCTGAGTGACATAGGAGCAGGTTGGAAAAGAGCTAGTGGTGGTCAAATCAAAACATGACATCATTCAATGAAATCTACAACGGTTGGTTTAAGCCAGTCACGTAGAGAGGTGTGTACTGCTGTTTGGTTGGGGTCGTCGGGATGGTCAAAAGCAATGGCTGGAGACAATTGGTGATATGGCTCAAAATCGTTCTCAATGGTGCAGACACATCTACTCCTTGTGACTTATAATATCTAATAAAACTATTGTTTTTGCATATTACTATTCTTTTTCCCTCACACTCCTGTTTACTATCTGTCTTCTGAACCTCACTTTACTCTCCTATCACTTTGTGTGCTACATGGTGTGTGGTAACTCGAACTGGAGCATATCTGTGCAGATTTCTACGTTGAAACCAGTTATTCAGTGGGACATATGGCTTCAACAATACACCTCCACTTTGTTCTGTTCTCTGCCGTCCTCTTCAGCTGGATCCACAATTACACACAATCTCTCATCTCGTTCTCACACCATCTCTTCCACGTCACACTCGCACCAATGACCCACTTGTCGCTTTCAATTAGGATTCCTCTTTAGTGATGGTCATTTGACGGCCTCCTCAACGTATGCCTTATCCACCCATCTCCATTTTCTCCTACATATTTGTTGATCAATCGGCTCTTGCTTGTTGGTTTGTTGCCAGCCAGAGTTTCTCGTTGCCAATTGTTTTTGGCAGATCGGCCATTTGATCTTCAGTATGGAGCCAGCTAGTGAAGGTGTCAGATGTTGATGAAAGTCTGTAACTTGTTGGAAATCCTTTTCGTGACTCACGCACAGTGCAAGTTTCTGACCCGTATAGAAGAACTGACTGACTGACTTCACATTTGTGTTGAACAGAATCCGAATGTTGTTCTTTATGCTGGGTGAGTGAGTGTAGAAGATTTCCAAACTGGTTTTAGGTTGATGAAGGCGTATCTTGCCTTTACGATTGTGCAGACTTTGGTTTTATCTCGAATTAGCATTGTTAGTTCCTTTAACACCTATATAATTGTGTTAATTATGTCATAATTGTCTTAATTTTTTAATTTCCTCCAAAACAAGTATGTCTATTTTTATCTTTCTTCAGCACAACCACCTATTCGACGACAGTTGAATAATAGACCGTCGCATTCAGATACTAGTAGTCCTTGGATTCATGGAAATCAATCTGTTGTAGAACATCAAAATGGTAATTTAGACGCTACAGCAATGATGAAAGCAGCTGATTCATTTGAACAATTGGCAGCATTAGCAGAAGCACAGTTAAGCTGTAATAATTTAGGTGTCTCTGGAGATCCTAATCCATCTATTAATACACTATTTCATCAATCTCAAGTCACTTCTACAGGTAGTTATCGTATTTTTGTTGTTGTTGTTGTATTTGGGAAATATCCTTATCTCCTTATATTCATTGGTGTCATCTGGGGGTAAAGACAGACAAGTGGTTTCTGTCAGTGATGCCCATTGTTCGCATTTTGGTTTGATTTCATCATAAATGTACTAATGGAATGTGTTACCCTAATCGATTTTGGCCTCTTTGAGAATAACTTGTTACTAGGGGTCAATCTTGTCGAAGTAGTGTGATTACTGACTTCCTAGGTGAAGCTACCGTCAGAATGGAATGTTTTCTGAACACCTTGAGTAGAATATTTCTTATTTTTGTTATGCAATTTTTTTCTGTCCTAAGTAACATAATGCGTCAGAATTGATTTGCTCTGACTCCCCGTTTAAACCTGTGGAGTGAAGTGGAAGGTTGTATCAATCCTAATGGACTGTTGGATAACGAAACCTCAGCACGGACTTAAAAGGCTGCTCCGACATTTGTTTTTTTTTTTTTTTTGATTTACAGCTTGATTCCACACCGTATTTTCAGTACAGGTATGGAATTTTCAGCATGGATATCGGTAGCCCAAATTTACAGGCCGATCATAGATATCGGGTGTGCGCCGGCAGGGGATCGAACCCCGGACCATGTTCATGGTCGGCGACAGTCCTAACCACTGTGCCACCTACATCAATTGTGACATAGATGTGATACCCTACTATCGATCAAGGGACTCATGTACTGCACAGCTTTTGTCTCTAGCCTTCTTTGTGATTGTAAGACATGAATAATTGAAGATGGAAGATGTGAAGAGGCTAACTGTCCTTCAGTACAGATTTTAGTGCTCTATGTTAAGTGGTGTAATATGATGTGTAATATTGAGGTAAGGTGAAAAGTGTTGGGTAGGGAGGGAAAGTCAATCTATGTGGTTGTGAAGCTTTATCGATTCGGATGGCTAGAACACGTGTTGTACATGTGAAGCTAGCACTTTATTCGTCAAACAATGTTAGCTGAATTGGAATTATTTTGGAGGAGAGTTAGGGGTAGTCAAAGAAAGTGATGGCATTATTTCATGACGTGTTTAACTATTGGTGTGAGCCAGTTACATAGGGAGGTGTAGATTTCGTGGTTGGGGTCACTGATACCCTACGAACCAATGATTGGAAAATGTTGGTGATGTGGCTCAAAATCCCATATGGTCTAGGGTTATTAACTTTTCCTGTGGATTTTTATATACACCTCGTTTATTGAAGACTATTTGTACGCTTCGTGATTGTACTACTAAATAATGTTGAATGAAGATTGATTCAATTGCCTAGTATAAAGGAGTAGTGAATATGCCTAATGGTTCCTTTTGTAAGCTACTGTCGAGTGAACAGCGTCATAAAAAGAGGACAAAGACGATACTGTGACATTCGTTAGTTTGAATAAAATGAACTACAACAATTTTGAAGTATTGATAAATAATGAAATTGTAGAATCTTAATACTTATATAGTCGGCGACCATACCACTTTGATAGCACCGGTTCTCGTCCGATCACCGAAGTTAAGCAACGTTGGGCCCGGTTAGTACTTGCATGGGTGACCGGTTGGGAATCCCGGGTGTTGCCGGCTTTTTTTTAAGGGCTTCGGTGGCATAGCGGTTAAGACGCTCGCCGACCATGCACATGGTCCGGGGCTCGATCCCCGGCCGACGCACTCCTTTACCTCTCTAAGCCAGAAATAATGCTGTTGAAGGGGAGAGGTTGGGCTGGGCATGAGGCTAACAACCCCATCCTGTAAAATAAACACTGCTACAGAAACTTCAAGCCACTAGATCGAAGCCCTATGTTCCACTGGGGAACGTGAAGGAAAAAAAATACTTATATAGATAAGGGGATGTAATTATTTTTAGTAATCATCAATCGACTTTTTACACCTAAACAGTGAACACGATTATCAGTTTCAGTTTTCCAATGATGACAATGTCAAAATTAGACGGCAGTAGAATTAGAACACAATATCAATTTGGGGTCTTTGGCTCATTGATCTTTAGGCGTGTTTTACTTTCAGACACAAGATGACGGCTTCCAACCTCGTTCTACCTACCGTAGTTAAGGCGGCTAGGTAGTATTGTTAGAGAAGATTTGTAGTTCAGGTGGATGATTGTGATGTGGTTGCGTTCTCTCTGAGCTTGGTGGTTGAATTTCTTAGCTTTTATTATTCTTCAGCTCAAACTTGATTTCATTTCAATCATCACATGACAGCTGAACGTAGTTCTTAATGACTTCACTGGAATGTAGAGTTGGCTAGGGAATAAGCAGAGGGCTAGACGATGGTATAAAGGGGACAGTTGGTCTGAATCTGACTGCAATCGAGTTTTCCATGTCACCTCTGATCATCACCCATCACTGTCTCATTACTTTATTTATTTACAGTTGCACTGTGTGTAACTGCATGATTTAATTCAATTGATGTAGTTCAGTCTTAATCTTTGTCTTTTAAAATGTTGTTGTAGCTTATCAACCCCAAACCTCAGTCAATTCACAACCATTGTCCATGACACGGAATGGGCAAAAATCCCATATATTTGGTGGTGTCAGCGTTCTTCCTAGTTACAGCAGCAGCAGTGGAGGCGGCGGCAACAGTGGTGTAACTAATGGCGATTCAGTCTGCACCAGTCACAACTTCATTCCATCCTCATCAGCATATGATCTTCAACAGGTACAACAAGAACAACAATATTCACAATCAAATCATCCAGTTTCCTCGGCCTCATCATCCTTTGATCTTGACAACAGTAGCGGTAGGAAATTCTCATCACCAGCTGCAACAGGACTAAGTGGACAAGATACTTCTACGGATAGTGGTCAAACCACTGGTCTTGTATGCCATAATCGTGTATCCGAAAAGATTCAAAAGTTAGTCAACACTTTGAAACGTCCTAAAAGATATCCACTGCCAGAATACTTTTTGGATGATGAAGATCAGGTGCTTGTAAGACCTGTGGTTGATCCGACAGCTCCGCGTCCAAGAGGTCTTCCATCTGAACCGCTAGTTGGTGAAGAATTAGTGGTAAGTGCTTGCATATAAGTTGACTGATTTCTCACTGTTTTGCGTCATTCACTGTTCAGTTGTGGCTAACAAGAATCATTATTTTTTCTATTTTTTCCCCTTTGTATTATAGATACCTTCTGGCTTACCACGGAATTTAGAGTCAGCCCTACAGCGTTATGCTAGTTTAAGTTGTAAAACACCAGCGTTAACCTGTTTAGATGTATCTGGCCGGCCTACTCAAGTGTTGACTTATGCAAAACTACTTCAGGTATGTTTAACTTACCTCTTTCTTTGTTTCTTAAGAAATACGTGGTGATATTGTTTCATTTTCTAGAATTCTCAGATTATAGGGTTTGTGGTGATTTCAGATTAATTTCAATTTTTTAGATTGTCGTCATCAACCAACATCACTTAGGAAGATAACTGTTTCGTCCCAGTTTTACAGCTGCTCATCAGTGTTCACCCGTGACCCCATTAGGGATGGAAGCGAGAACCTTCTGATGACGAGACTGAGCTTGTTAACCATTCAGTCACTTGGGTTGGGATTCAATGACTTCTGAATTCTAACTTTGTCAACCAACTGCCCTCAGTAATGCCTTCTATGAGCATCCACTTCACCTCGACATCGGTTGTGCTAAATCAACAGTTGGCAGATTTAGAATTTAGAGGTCATTGAATTCCAACCCAACTGACTGATTGGTTAACGAGTTCATTCTCGTAATAGGAAGGTCCAGATTTCGATCCCTAGCGAAGTCGTGGGGGTGAGCACTGCTGAGAAATCCCAAGCTAGGAAGAAATAACTATCCAGTGCTCCTTGGTTTTCAATGATCTCTCTCTAACAGATGTTGGTTCGTGACGAAAATTCTAGAATTTTCTTTGTACTGTCCCGCTGTATATCAGTTTCACCATCTTTACAATCAGTTACTAACTATTAGTCATCAGAAAATATTGTTGAGAGCATTTAAAAAGTTTCATAATCTGAGCATTTAATGAGTAATTATTGGCAAAAAATGAACCGAATAACATTTTTCAGGTTAGAGAACCATTGAAAAGTCGGGAGTACTGAACACAACTGGTTTTCAATAGTTCTCTAACTGGTCAATGTCACAGTCGATGATGAAATCCAACTTGAAATGAAACATTTGACTTCAAGCTGCTGAAGTTTCAGTATCGGTGTTGTTATTTTTGCGGGATGGGATCCCGTTCTCACGTTCAACTGTCCCTCTTTTCCAGGTGTACTACTGGCTAGGCGAAGTTTAAGAGTACGTCGGTTAGGAATCGAAATCGGTCAATGTGTGTAGTTGATGATGATTATTCAACCATCGAACCACTAACGACACACTAAGGTAAATAAAGATGCAGTATGAATACAACCACACACTACTGTGGTTGTTTCCAGGCCATATATCGTCTAGTGTCACTATTTTCCTAGCCGTTCCACTCAGACCAACAGTCAATGACTGCGTAGGTTTACTGTAGCCACCCTTCGCTTTCTTTTTACTATTGTTTGCTTCATCTAACATTGAGTGTTAAAATGGAGGGCATAAAACACATGACTTACTGACTTAAGCATTTGTCTTTCATTCAGTAGGCCTCAGGGTTCGAATCCACTCTTGTTTACTTCAATCTGAACAGTTGGATGCTGTTACACACATAGTGTGGTTCGTAGCCTAAAATATAAGAGTCGAGTGTGTTTATCAATTCACCTGCTCGTATGGAGCTAGGTATATCGGTCGTTCGACTCAAGTTTTATCCAAGAGGGTGCAAGGACACTATCCTGCATGGTTACGAAGAGGTGGGAGTGGAGCAATAAGAAGCGCGATCATTGAACATCTGGTCGATAATGATCACCCTATCTCTATAGCCTCTGCCTTTAAAGTCATCTACAAGGCAAAAAGTAATTTACTGAAATCACTACGTATCCGATAAGTGAATATGCGCTCTTAACATCTCAGCCTTTTCAGTCGGTGGAGATGTATAACTACATATATAATGATTCTTACCGATAGTACTGCATATTTTTGTTATTTTATGTATCATTTTTTTTCCATTCCATGAGTGAACTGATAAACATTTGAAATGACCTTTGAATATTACTTACATAAGTACAGATGAGACCCTAGTCAAATGAGCACATGAATTGATATTTAGTTGTCATATGACAAAATGTTTTTTTTATTACCGTATATGAATTGTAATACACTTAAATATTAGAACGTGCCACCCAACTTAAACAATACATTCTCGGTACAATTATGAATAGTAACCAGTTTGTAACATTCCATGACAGTCAGTATGTGTTTGTGTGTGTGCATGTGAATTACGTGTAAGCTCGTTTTTTTATCAAAAGAAGTTTGAGACTGCATATATGGCGCTTAAATGTTCAAAGGTTTAATTTTAATCGGTTCTCTGCAAGACTCAGAGCTCATCAGTTTCAATCACGTCACATAGTAGAGCTCATTAACCCGATGATGGTCAGATTGAATTAGACAGAGAGGGACTCGGACTAGGAACGCGAGTAGCCTGTAAGTTGAGTGCTTAAGCCAACAGGCTACATCTTCACTCTTCAAGAATACATAAAATACTTCATGATAAAGAACTGTGATGAAGTAACTGTATATAGATAAGCTGAGATTTTATAAATTCAGGTTTAATATTACTTTAATAAAGCAATTAGCAGCATTGAATAGCGAAATGTCAGTAAAACACAACAATATCGTTTTGTTTTTCCAGTTATTGGAAAATGTTTTATGTTAATAAAAATATGAAATAAATCAATTAAAAGTCAAAAGCCAAGTTTAATAAGGTAGAAAAAGAGAAGTCTACTACGGTTTGTCTTCGGATGATTACATCAAGAAGACTTATTATAATATTATTATTCTCTTGGTTTCTGAGTGGGATTTAGGGTTCCAGCAACACATTTCCGTTTCTCTGCAGTCCTTGTTAGCTAGCTCCACAATCCCTACACAGTCTCCTCCAAGTCACCCTCGGACGCCCAACTTGTCGTTTCCCATTCGGTTTCCACACGAGGTCCTGGCGCGTGATGTCCCTCAGTGGTCTTTTCAGTATATCCCTGATCAGTCTCCACTTTCTTCGGGATATCTGTTACACGATAAGTTCTTGATTGTTTCATTGGCATGTTTCCTTGTTGTTAGTCCTTTCCTGCTGACCATATATGATCTTCAGTATGGAGTCAGCGAAAGCAGCTGTCGATTAAAGTCTGCAGTCTTGTTGGAAATGCAGGTTATGACTACATGATGAAATAACATGAATCCAATTCAATCTTCATAATGTTTCTCATTTGTTTTCTTTCTTTTTGTTTTCTTACAGCGGGCTATCCGAATTGCCTACACTTTATTAAATAAATTAGGTCATCGTGGGGAACAAAGCTTGAAGCCTGGTGATCGTGTTGCACTGGTATATGCTAATAATGAACCAATCAGTTTTTTGTGCGCATTCTACGGGTGTATTTTAGCTAGTGTTATTCCCATAGCAATAGAAGTTCCATCAGCTCGTCGAGTAAGTGTTTGTTTCTTTTCTGCATATTAGAGTCGTATTAAGAGATTTACAGAGTTGAACTGTATTCATCACTTCTTGTCGATTATGTAGCGTCATTCAATTTACTTAATTTCATTTTGCTTTAGTCTCAGTGTAATTAGTTTTTTTCTGTATTACGTAATTCGGAATCTTTTGTTTTCTAAAAATCGAATGGCATATCTTGTTATCTTTTTAAGTCAGTGTTTTCTTTTCCTTCGATTGATTTGACCGAAATGATCGGCTTCTCTTGACATATCGGTTCCTAGTACGGCCACTTCGACGATGTTGTTTGAGGGATAACTTCAGTCAGTCACTTTGATGGATAGTGACTGGCAATGGGATCCAGGATGCGCATTTTGTTCTGTTCAAGACTTCTCAGATGGGTGTGTCGCAGTCCGCAATGACTGGTGGTGCTGCTCCCTCTGAGACTCGGATCCAGCAGACATCGTTTGAAATACCAAAGCACTATCCATTAGACTACTCGGATTACGAGAGCCACCCCCGCCCACCTCATATGACAGGTATTAGGTATTCTTTGTTCAAGTCAGTTTTGTTTAGCAGACACATCTAGCTGACGAGTCACAGAAAAGACGAAATGCGTAATATGGATTTCACTGATAGCTGGCATCACTGAGAAGAATAACTCTTCGCTGAACACCGTATCGTTTGTATAACATAATGAGTTGAGTGTGGGGGGGGGGCTGGATTTCAATGCTTACTGAACACATCTTGTTATAAGTTTGCGCGTTGACTTCAGTAGTCTATGCTAATCATTTATCTCTATTAAACATGGAGAGATTTCACCATATTTAAAAAAAATTATTTTCAAAAGAATGGACACGGAACAAAGAGTACTCTTTTCGATAACTTCATCAGGTTCTACAGTTATATATACGTTATAGTGAATGAATGAATTAGTGTTATGAACAACATTAATGTTGTTTATATAACATCGAATCAATAATATCAATAGATTACAGCTCAATAGCATCAACATAAAATAAACTGAATGTCAGAAAAATTAGGAAAGATAATATTACAAATTCATGAATTTATAGTCTCTACTGAAGGCCAGGGCAGTAGTAGTGGCTGGACTTGCTTCTTTTGAACACAGAGCACTGGTTGTTTGAGGCGAATTGCAATAGCCTCTGCTGTTTGGAGCATGCGGTGCTTCGATGATTTTGGCAATTTATTAGGCACCTGGTAGATGATAGAGAAGGATTCTTCAAGGCTGGCTGGCTTTGTGGCCGGTTTGCACCAGATGGTCCAATATCGAACTGTTAATGGTTTTCACTACACCTTTACTTAGCCATAGTGGGAGATGTTCTCGAGCACGAAAGATCAAGTTCCTAGAGCAACGGCCAATATAACTCGCTCCACTGCAAGTGCAGTTGAATTGGTAGATACAATTTGAAGTGGCTAGTCTAGGTACTTCATCTTTCAGTCGAGGTAGCACCATCGGTCATGTAGAGAATAATACGTGTAGTTCGCCAGCATTAAAAGTTCTTTGAACTGATTTTCTTAACTTCTTCGTAATTATTTCACTTGGTATATCGTCCTTGAATTGCAGTCGTACATAAAGTGGCTTCTTGTTTACAGATAGTGAGTAGTCCTTTTCCGCTTTCTTTGTCATGTGTTTCTTGATAAATTTTTCGGGATAGCTATTTTCGATCAAAGTACCATATACAATTCTTCATTCATCTTCAATTACTTCTTGTGAGCATATACCTCTAACTCTGTGGCTGAGGGTCTTTTGTACATGATAGGAACGAAGCTGTGAAAATGTGTATATTGTCCTGTCCAAGCGCTTTTTCTATGCAAATTTCTTTTTATGCTACCATCTGGTTTTATTGTAAGGAGGAGGCAATTCTGTCTTGGGATTCCTCTTCGCATGTGATGTACTTCATTGAATTCAGTAATTATTGTGTGATGCAATAAGTTTCCAGCTGCTTTAAACAAATAGGTAGAGAGATGGGAAAAAAATGAAGTAGTTTAAAAAACACTAACTTAAATTACAGTGGTAGGTCATTTAACATATTTGATGTATGTATATCACTCAGGGTTGTTACATTTTATGAATAGTTCATAATTTCATCATCCAACTTATCTTCATTGTTCTTTGAAACCTGAAAATACTCTTGTATCTGTACTTTCAATAAGCACATGCAACTACTTTCTTAAACAGTTTTTTGCACAGACTCTGTACAGTTTGAATTATTTCGCCTCCTTTTTAGTAAATTAATGAATGAATGAATGTGAAATTAACACATTCAACTAAATGTGTGAGGTGGTACTAAGTTGAGTATGCTGACCACTTCAGTTAATTAATTAAGAATCTGCATCAACCCTAAACGACTGATTATTATTGATAAATCTTAGCTTGAACACAGAATGCTGGTGTGTGGCATTTATAAAATCAGGTCATCTCTGTCGTAGACGTGATATCCAGCTAGCTATCCATGAATGAAAGGATAAGTGTACTGCGCAGCTGTTCTCTCTATCCTCTCATGACTGCATGATATGTACATTGAAAGTGGAAGATATGAAGAGACTAGCTGTCTTTGATCACAGATGTTTGCCTTCTGTCTCCGGTGTTAAGTGATATTTTGATTGGACACTAGTAACTAGTGTGACGTGTCTAGTCCTTTCTTTGGTGCAGACTGAATTCTATCAGTCAGTCAGGTTTTGCAATGTGGCCACCACCATTCTAGGTAGCTCGCCATCACGGTACACATTAATTTGATGATATTAGATAGTTGGAGGCAATCGGCCACAGGAAGCCTTGGACCTAGGTTTCATGCTAGTTGGCACTCATCAGTCAGCAAGGCGTATCTGCAGTTACCTTGAAGGAACTCATGTCCCTTCTGAGATTCGAACCCGTGTCACCCGGTGCAGTCAGAGACGTTACCACTGAGCTATTCGGGCTAGCGACTGACCTCTTGTAGGACTGAAGAGGGTATTTTGATTTGACACTAGTAAGTGATATTATATAGTGAGTAATATTATGGTTAGGCGTAAAGCGTTAGGTAAGGAGGAAAAGTCAATCAATGAGGTTGTAAATCTAAATCCGCCGAGATAGCTGGGACATGTGTTACGCATTCGAAGACACTGCCTTAATGAAGTAGTAAGGTTGGAAAAGAACTAGTGGTTGTCAAATCAAAACCCGTCATCAATCCATAGAATTTGTAGCCGCGTACATAGATTTAGACTGCCTGACTGGGGGCGTTGGAACACTAAGAACCTATAGCTTGGCACTGTTCTCGGTGGGGGGGGGGGTGAACGCTTTCACTTTTTGCAGTCTCCAAGGTTCATCAAGTTCTTATGTTTCTGTATGCGATTAGCCTTTCTTACCATACATTTCTGTACACCATATTTCTTTGCAGTTTTGTTCTCTAAATTTGTTTACTATGTGTAGGTGTGGTAACTTGAACCAGTATACTTCCGTTCAAATTGCCACGAATTGGTTTAGTTAGTGTAAATAAACAATAAAATTTGGGTATCTTCATTAAATTTATCTGATAATGTGTTGAAGCGATAGTTGTTGAGTTTGTGAGTCCCTGTGGGTGGTGGTACAACATCACTTACTTGGGGAGTGGGTAATAGGTACACCCGACTGACGAGTTCAGAATGGGACGAAACACTTTTGAAACAAGTCTTTTCAAGTTATAAATCATGGTGATGTCGAGACACGCGTTCAAAGTACTCATACCATAATGTGTGGCCGAGCAATTTTGTTCAGGTATCCTAAACAGGAAATCATAAGTATGACTAAGCTATTGAGTATTTACTTTTCCAAATTCACCCCTCTTACTGATAGTTTTACAGAAGTTAATAAATTATTCAAAAAGTACTTAACAGGATTTCATTCATTCTTTTACGTTCATGAGTTTTTATCTAGTCCTATGAATATTACTCGTGCGTCGGTGGCATAGCGGTTAGGATGCTCGCCGACCATGCACATGGTTCGGGGTTCCATCCCCGGCCACTGACGCGCACTCCTTTACCTCGCTAAGCCAGAAATAAAAGCTGGTAAAGAGGAAAGGTTAGTCATGAGGCTAGCAACCCCATCCTGTCAAAATAAACACTGCTACAGAAACTTCAAGCCACTAGCTTGAAGGGCCCTATGTTCCACTGGGAACGTGAAGGAATAGAAAAAAATGAATATTACTCACTTTAAATGAAATAAGGTAAATGAGGTCGATATATAAGAAAGATAGTTTTAATTGCTGATCATATTTTGTTGTTAATTGAGGTATTTTTATATCTTTATGATGTGAACTACTATGTGTATCTTTTAACGTTGTTCTTACTATTCTTGTTGTTGTTGTTATTATTGTTGAAAGGATGCATCATGTCAAAGTATGGGATTTTTGCTGGGTAGTCAAGATGCTAGAGTTGTATTAGCTAGTGAACAGTGTTATAAAGCGCTACAACGTAGTCCTAATGGTGATATCTTACCATTTCCTGGTTGGCCACGTGTTACATGGATTAATACAGATCATCATGCTAGTGGTATAAAACCACCGAAAGATTGGACTCCACCAGATCGATTAGCAAATGATGCAACTATGTATTTAGAGGTGAGTATTACCACTTATTTTAAAATTATTATTATTATTTATTATCTAATCGTAATTATTTACTTTTTATTGATATAAGTATAAAACTTGGACACTGTGGTGGTAGAGTATAACTCCATTATGGATAAGATTTTATTTTGATAAATCACACAGTGTTACACAGTAATATTAACTGATGACCACGTTTCGAGCACAAACTATTGCTCATAATCATATCAAGTTACTCACACAACTTTTTCCTTCATTTATATATATGTATGGAATTGACTAGATATTTGAATAAAAATCAATATGAGATAATGTACATTCAGAGATAATAATATGAGTGTTATTGATCAATTACAATCAGATGGGAAATAAGACGAGTGTTTTTATAGTCGAAATAAGTAACTTGTTAGAATGTTGTGATGTGCTTGAATTGAAATAGAATTTTGACATTATTTATTATCCTCTTCTGATTTAACTGACTGGTGGTAATAATATCTTCCATATCTCTGGTATTTGCGTTGAATCATTTCTGTTGTATGTGTTGTGTGTAGACTGGATGAACCAGGCAGGATTCAGTAATCAATCTCTCTCGCTCTACACCTACCTATATTACTTCTTAGAATTTTGACTCTGTCCTACTCTATTGTGTGGTTGTTTGTTAACGCTTGCAGTTCAATCGGTGAGCCTGTTTCTAAATTAGTTATCTTCGCGGGTGGGATCAGTCATTTTAACCATAGTTAAATTCTTATGTTCCGAAAATCTGACTACCCCTGGCCTACTACTTTGACCTATGTAGTTGACCTCACAGTCATTTCAGGGTATTTTGTAAATTCTATTATTTTGTTTAATTGGATCCACCGGGTCTTTTAGCCTACAGAGCTTGTCCCTGAGTGAGTTTGTATGTTTGAATGCCACCTTAATTCCTGCTTTATTAAGAATCCTACTTAGGGTCTCAGATGTCCCCTCCTTATATGGTATAACAGTAGATGCCTTATATTCTTTCTTATTTATGTTATCATTATCAGTTTCACCTTTCTTTTTCTTTTGACCTTTTCTGATCTTCCTAATGAATTTTATAGGATAGTTATTTGATACCAACGCTTCTTCTCTCTGTTTCATTTCATCGTTTAAGTTTACTTTTTAATGAGATGGTTCCTAGTTAGTTATCTCATGGATTGACTTCAGTTAGAGAACCATTGAAAATCAGGGAAGAGCACTGGACAGATGTTTCATCCCAGTGTGGGACTCTTTAGCCATAATCAACTCTGGTTCCTACGTGGCGGGAATCGAACCTGAAATGTTGACGTTACAAGGCGAGGTCATTGACTGCCATTCAACTACTCGGATAGAATGCAATCGCCTATGAATTCTAACTGCTGTCAGTTTCAGATGTACAGCACTTTTACCAGTTTATGTACCTGTCCGTCCTCAGCTCTCTAGTAAGTACTTCCTGATTTTCAGCGGTTCTCTAACTGTGAAGTCATTTCATGATGTATCTGGAAATCAACTAAATCTCTGTAAACCAAAACTTTTGAAAATTAGATAAGTTAGCTGTTTTGCTTATATTTTCACACATTTTATGATTATGATTACCTCAATAGGAGAAGAAAAAGAGGAATTTGGAATGTATGTGTGTGTATGTATGTATGTTTGTATGTGTGTGTGTATGGGAAGTATATTTTTCATTTGTTTTATTTTCAAGTTGTGTTCAATCATGAATAGTATTAGTTTCAGCGGAAAGATGAACTTTAAATGTTGAAAAAGATGTAAAATACCCTACATATTTGTGTTTTGGTTTTGTTTTTTTGATTGTTAAGTTAGAAAGCGTATGAACTGTTGCATGCATAAGTTAAAACTCTATCACATCTATAAAGATGATTATAGGCAGTTTGAATATTCAGAAATTCTCATTTAGACATTGAACCTCATCTGGTTCTGTAGTCCCGTATACACATAATATTGTTATTGACCGACCACATTGATGTTAACTTCATACTGCACTTCAATACGCTACTTGCAAGTATATATATAAGTAGTATATTGGGTAATGTCCACGAAGAAGTCAAGCTTATGTGTCCAGAAGAAGTTGTTGTTACTTTTGGTGACGTACCAAGTCTATGATCCGTATAGAAGCACTGACTGAATTGGCATTAGTGTTGAAAATCCGACTGTTGTTTCTTATACTAAGCGCAGCAGATTTCCCCACTGATTTCAGACTAATGAAGGTGTGTCTAGCTGTACAATCTCCATCCGTCATGCATGTAGTTGCCTAGGTAAGTGAAAGGAGTGACTTCCAAAGTTTTCCCGTTGATAGTGATTGGCAACTGTTGGTAGTGCAATGGTGGTTAGATATCTTCATCATCTCTATCTTCTCTGTGTTCAGTTGAAGTTCTGTCCGCTTGAAACGCTGTATATATGTTCAGGAAGAAGCAGTTATCAGTCTTCCCCTGCCTATTCTGGTAACTGGATGTCTTTACCCTCTCTCTCTTTCATTCGATTACGTAATCTTTGGCTTTAATCTCTCCCCTTTGATATAGTGTAACTTTGCTTATCTGTTGTTTCTATGATTTGAGTTGAATTCACCATATTGTGTTACTTAGCGTATTAGTTACTACTCATCATATTGTTCACCTCTTGTCAATGCAACCAAGCCTTTACTTATGTTGAAACTTGAACTATCTGGGTATAAACTATATAAGCGTAATTTTCTGAGCACTGTTCATTAAGTTTGGAGTCTCCTGTCAACAGGCGTTACGTAACATTTGCAAGTATGTTAACATTGTTCTGTACACAAAAGCTCAATCATTTCTTTAGTCTGTATGCAGCCGATAAGAAGCCAATAAAATAAATGATGGTACCACACCACCCTCTTCACTCACAACTCTCCCCTTGCATCTCATCAGGTAAAAACCAGAAGTCTATATAGAAAACTATATGCTAGCACCAGCAAGTACAAAAATTCAACCATACCCTACTTAGCTCGTGTTCTGTGCGATAAAGAAAGCATTAGGCGTGACACCTACAATTCATTAAATAGTAGTACAACTGGACCTCCTCTTTCCAACTCACATCATTTATAGGTACAACATTTTCTTTCTTTCTTTTCCTTTTCTCTCTCTCTTTTTTCTGTTATGTGCTGCTTTGTTTCTTTCTTCCGCTTACGCCAGTTTATATAATAGCATCTACTTTTCTAACACCTTCAAACACTGTTCAACTTTGGCTTTGCTACCGACATGCCAATGTGTTGTTGTCATAATGAATTGAGATTTCCTCAGTCTATGTAGAATTCTATTTATTGATAATGTACTAACTGGATGCAATATTGTAGTAAAAATGCTGAGGATTCCATTCTGTATCACAAGTACTGTTTTGGAATAAAGCAAATTATTATTATTATTTTATTCTGCACAAACCACTATTGTTCTTGCCTTATTCAAATTCACAAAGAGGAATAAGTGTATGAAGTCTAGTCTTCTCTGGCGGCTACTTCTTCTGCCGACTTTGTTGATTTTCGCTTGCCGGCAGACCTTCGAGTTAGTTTTTGTGACAGTAGACATAAATTACCGATGAAGCCCGCATCTAAAAAATAAAGTCTACTAGGAATGCTGTTGTGTAAAATATAGATGTTCTTTTGAAGAAGCCCTAGTGTCATCATCGTCATATTCTTTGGTAAAACTTATTTTCTTTTGTGTAGGATATTTCATACATCATTTTTTTGGCTTTGTTGGTTGTTTTTTTGTCTTGATTTCCAAAGATTTGTGTTTTTTGTGTATGGGTGTGTGTGTGGGTATTTGTAATGTTTTCTTCTTCAAATATTTCTTCTATCTATCTTCTGTCTATTTTTACAGTAATTTTCACTGACAACATTCCAATATTAATCATATGCTGCACATACTTTTCTCTCCTCTCTGTGTTCATCAAATCTTTCTCTGTCTGTCTGTCTGATGTGTTAACAGCATTTAAAATACACCGGAGAGGAGTGATAGTAGTTAAAACTTCATGCTATATAATGTCTTTTGGCATTTTTGATTATTGTCCAAAGGTGTTTTGTTATTTTCGCCTCTTCTTCTTCTCCTCCTACTTTTGAAGGTCATAACTAATATTCTAGTTGCCCACATATGTGTATTATCTTGGCCTACAACAAGCCTTCGCTTAGCACCGCGCACCTACGTACACACTCACAGGCGTACGCATTTATTATTTCTATTGACTAACTTATCCACTATGATTATGTGTACTTCTTTCCTTATACCAAATTGTTTTTAGTTGATTCATCTTGTTAAGGCTGACTTGTTTATTTTTGGTCAGCGTCTTAGTAATCACTTCTCCCCCCGGCTTTCTTTAAGTCTCTTATAGCACTGGTATTATTATCATTATTGTTATTATTATCTCATTATTATCACCACTTCGAGATGTCGCTTTTTTTGATCAGTGGAATTCAACTAATGTTTGATATAAGGGTAGGATTTGGGCGGGTAGAATACCATTCCATATTAGAGAAGTTTATTTGATGTAACAAATCCTGGATGGTGGTGATGCTGTGATTGTAAGCGATCAGTTTTGCTTGAAACGTTATCCGGCTATTAATACTGTGTCATTTTCTGTATGTGTATGTATGTGTTCGAATTAATATATCACCAGTTCACTCAATTAGTGCGTCAGTGGCACTGTGGTAGAATGCTCGGCAACTACGCATGTAGTTCGGGGTTGGATCCCCGGCCACTGACGCGCACTGCTTTATCTCGCTAAGTCAGTAATAAAATACTGGTAATGAGGGAAGGTTGGGCATGAGGCTAGCTAGCAATTCCATCCCGTAAAAAAAGAAACACCACTGCTACTGAAACTTCAAAGCTTCTAGTTTGAAAGCCTTATGTTCTACTGGGAAAGTGAAGGAATAAAAAAATTTGACTTAAGTAAACTAGCCAGAAGTATGAATGGTAATCCAACTACTCATATCATTCAGTCAGTAGTATATATTGGGGAGAGGGGTTCAATAATGCATATGAATTCGA